TGCCTTGTGGGTAGAAAGTTGGTAATGTCTTGTAGGTAGCAGACCCAAACTCATTTGAGAATTAGTCAGCTGGATGATTCTTTGCTCAGACAATAACAACATTACTAGAGTTTACATTGGTACCCCACAGAGCATGTCCCACAGATGCCCCACATACACATCTTAGCATGTACTGGGAATAGAAGTGTCAATTGGACTGAATTTGGTCCAACTCGATCCAGTCCAATGTGAGTCCACTTACAAATGGACTGGATCCAATCCAGTCCAAATCTAATACAAACCAAATCCAATCCAATCCATTAAAATGTAAATGGACTGGTTGGATTGGATCCAATCCAAATTGTATGAAATATCAAAAATTATATATAAAAAAACAAAACATATAGGAATTAAAAAAATATACCCTTTTGGTATTGAAAAAGCACTTTCGTAAAAGTGCTTTCGTAAAAATACTTTTATAAAAGTACTTCCATAAAAGTGCTTTTGTAAAAGTACTTTAATGAAAGTACTTTCGTAAAAGTGCTTTCTTAAAAGTGCTTCCATAAAAGTGCTTTTATAAGTACTTTCATATAAGTGCTTTTGTAAAAGTAGTTAAGTAATTTTGTAGAAGTGCTTTTGTAAAAATACTTTCACAAAAGTACTTTTATAGAAGTACTTTTGTATAAGTGCTTTTATAAAAGTACTTTTGCAAAAGTTCTTTCATAGAAGTGCTTTTGTAAAAATGCTTTTATAAAAGTACTTCCGTAAAAGTGCTTTCGTAAAAGTACTTCCATAAAAGTATTTTTGTAAAAGTGTTTTTATTAAAGTGCTTTTATAAAATTGCTTTTGTTTGTGAAAGTGCTTTTTGTAAAAATATTTTTCATAAAATTGCTTTTATAAAAGTATTTTCGTATAAGTACTTTCATAAAAGTGATTTTATGCCAATTTCAGTTTTGATCGATTTCAAATTGGACAAGAGTTTGGCCTCATAATCGAATTATTGAAAATTTGATTTAAATCCAATTCAGACCAATAAGAATATGAACCAATTTATTTTAGATTGGCCCGGTCCAATAATCGTACAAATCGTCCAAATCCAATTTGATAAGATTTAAATGGGATCGAATCCAACCCAAAATTAAACCGGCCGATTGCACCCCTTGTTGGAAACACCTCTTGTAGTGGTCATTCGAAAATGTTCAATACACGGTTGGAATGTGCTGTACTAGGCGCCCCACTGTGTGGGGCACACAGATGCGAAATTCACATTATTACTAATCATGATGGAGGGGTTTGGTAGTGAGGTTGTTTGGTGGAGTCCAAATGACACAAGAAACTTCCACATGGCAGATTAGTTGGAAGTTGAAAAGGAATCCACAAATAGCTCTCCTAGATTAATGTAGAAACTTTGGCCAAAAAGACCCTGCCATGCAGAAGCCGCAATAGAGAAAGACTGAACAAATGTCCAGTCTTTATTTATTAGGTTGGAATAGGGCTAATACTTAATAGTGACACGGACTCTGGGATTCAATATATTGCCAATATTGCAGAGGCCGGGTCTCCTATCGGATGAACTGTCTTGATACCACACGATTCCTCCATGCATGCGTATTAATTCCTATATTCCATGTTAGCTCTTTTCCTCTTAATTTAGAAGTTGCTTGTAAAAGAGAGCTTATCCAGATGGGTGGCAAGGTGTTTTAGCTTGATTCATAGTTTCTATTGGCCACATGATTCCTCCCTACGGAAGGAATAAGTGGGGCCCTTAGAGAATAAGCCTAATTAATTAATCCGATTAGTCTGTTTTTTTTTTTTTTTTTAATTAAGTGAAATCTCTCTTTCACACATACAAGGCTTAGAAATATCGTATATATACAAAGTTTTACACTGATATTTGTATTTATAGTCTTCCCAAACTGAGGGTAATGGATTAATGGGATAGATGCCTCTTCAAATGAGAAAGATGCCTAGAAAAAATAATACAATCATCAAGTTGATGGAATAGAATGATGATTTATGAGAGCAAACGTGAATTATATTCGTCACAATAACATTTTGGGGATGAGAGGCATATACCATCACCCTCTAAAAATGAGGGAGAGGGAGAATATAATGTGTGGTCAAAAGAAGAAATGCCACCTTCAAGCAAGGCAACTAGCATCTTCCCAACTCCTCAATGGGATCATTAGTAAGATTAGAGTAGGTCCGACCTTCACATTTTCATTCATCTTTTCATGATTATCTTTAATTTCCTTGTCCACAATTTACAACTGATTTGCTCTAGTGGGTTTTCCAACAACTCTGATAATTTTAGAACTTCCTCAGACCAAAGTGGAGAAGATTCCATGATTCCATTCAGAGAGAGAGATAATAATAAGCTTGGCAGAAGAGGCTGAAGAGGGAGGAGAGGGAAAGGGAACCCCACTAAACATGATCTCTAAGGCTAAGGCTGGAGAGGGAAAACACATGGCTGATGTGACACTCATTTCTTTTAAGGGTAATTGGTGGTGGAGGAATCAGTGGCTTAAAATGAGGTGGTGTGGGAAATGCCTCCACCAAAGCACGTATTGTGCATGGACAAAGTACCTCTACTCTCTGCTCATGCAACCTCTATGTCCCCCTCAAAACCCTAAATTAGAATTTCTTTTTGATGGGCACCTTCACCTTCATTTGGAATTCAGAAATGTAGAAATTAAGCAGAGAGTAAATACATCAACCAGTCAGTTAAAAGAAATGTTTCAGACTAAGCTCCACTACATCTAGCTGGGTGCATGAGTTGATTTTTCAGCTAAGAATGAAAAAGAAGCATCAACTCAAATGGGTGGTTTTCTGGTTTTAATGGTATCGTGTCTCAACTCCCAAAAGTAACTTTAACTCAGTCATCCGGTTCAACTCCTTTTTTACCGCTTCAATTCGAAGATTCAATCCAAATTTATTGTATTAGAGAATAAAAACCTATTCAAGGAATTCACCTAACAGCTTAAGCTTTTAGGTTAGAATTGTTTTTGAGATGGTATCTTTGACCAAGTGATCTAATGTTTGATTCCCATCACCTCCATTATAATTAATTAAGTTTCAACATAAGGTACAGATAGATCTGTGTCTATCCAAGCTTCAAGCTCGATGGACTATTGTATGATCAAAGGACGTGTTTGAAAATAAAAGCCTATTTAAGGATCTCACCTAACAGCATAAGCATTTAGGTTAAATGGTTCTTTAAAGATATTGTAGTACAGAGAGGACATACAAATGAATGAATAAACGAATGATGGAACGAGAAACACGATCCTGTTTTGGCCACTTAAAAAATCGGAAATAGCCCTATGTTTTCTCTCGCACGTTAAATGTATTGAAGAATCAAGGCCACTAATTTGGCTTGTGTTTGGATATGCTTCAGGATTTTTGTTTTTAAAACCTAAAATCACAAAGTCTCAATTTTTTAGATTGTAATGTATCTAAAAGCAACGATTCCCAAACACGTAAAACACTTTCTTTGGCTCAATTTTGTTTTCCACAGCCTAAAATTCAAAATCAAAAGCTTATACAAACAGAACCTTCACTAATCAAACAAGCAAAAAAAAGGGTTAAATGGGCGATGTTTGGGGATGAGATTGTCCCACGTGAACCATTTTTTACCTGTTCCACTCTAGGGTGCAAATGGTTCGATCATGATCCGATCCAAGATATATTCGATCCGATGTGTTATATATTTATAAATAAATAAATATATAAATATATATATATAATACATATATATGTTATTTATAAATATATTATTTATATTGTATTTTTATAAATTTGTTACATTATTTGTTTTTTATAAAAGCATTTATATATATGATGAAAATAATTAATTTTTTCTTTATTTAAATTGGCATATTTTTATTTTTTCTTTTAATAATTTATTAATTTTTAAAGAAAATAAATGAGATCAAATCAGATCTGAAGATCCAAGGATCCAATAAGATTCAAATTTAGATCGAGTCCTATCAGATTTGATAGGATCCGACATCAACAGTAGAGGTATAAATCGGCCTGGCCTGGCATGGCCCAGTACAATGGCAAGTGGGTCGTGCCAAGCTCGACACAATGGTCTGTGCCATGCTGGGCCTAGGGTTTTAGGTCCGCAGGCTGGGCTGGCACGACCCATATTATATACTATTTATATATATATATATATATATTTATATATATAATAGAATATATTATATAAATTATAATTATATAATAAAATATAGTATATAATATATTAATAAAATAAACAATTGTTTCCAATTTTATTATACTAACTTATTTAATTAATCTATATATAAGTAATTGTATACGTCAAAATTCATATAAAATTAAAATTTTAAGTTTTTTTCATTTTTTTTAAATAAATAGACAAAAATAGCTTTTGGCTCGATCCATGGCCCACAGGCCAACATGGCCCATGGCATGGCATGGCACGGGCTTGGGCCGTGGGCCATGCCAGGCCAATCCCCAAACTTTTCACTGGGGAGGGCGATATAGCCCACTTTGCACCTCTAATCAACAGCATTGAATTAGATTCGAATATATCCGATCCGATCCGTTTGCACTCCTATTCCACTCTGGTCTGTCTCACGACACGAACCCTACTTTTTTTGTCAAAATAGGGATGACCCCACCAAATGAAAGCTAAATTTAGCAAGATATGCGCCAATTGGGTTAATAGTGGATGTATATATTTAGCTCACGGATAAATTTAGTTATGATCGTAAGCCCATCGAATTTAGATAATAAGACAAAGCCCATCATCCTTCTCATCAGAGCCCATAAAACTCATAAACATTGATTTTGCTTTTATTGATATTATTTTTTAAAAGTTATTTTATTTTTGATTTTTTTTAAAAAAATATTATTTTTACTGATATTAGGGCCCAAAAGTTGCTTATCCCTTTAATTAACAAGAAAGAAGCAATGTAGAAGATTACAAGCATGAAGCAACGACACTGCAGCTTTTTTCAATGGCAACTGTAGAAGATTGTATATTAATTTTGTAAATATATTTGAAAATCATAATTCTCTGCAAGTTAAAGAATTAAGCTTTAAACAGCACAACAACTGAACGAGATAAATTAGCCCCATTGAGGACGAACCTCACGAAAGTGAGAGATTAAACAAATAAAATGGCTCATCAACCTCTCTAATCACTGGACTAAAAAAATGGAAGGTCTCAGAGAGATCTCAGCAAATTCCGGGCATGTTGTTCCAAGAGCAGGAGCCGAGAGTCCAGTCTGGGTCTGTGGTGGTGGCAGAGGCAGTTGAGAGGGACGAAGCTAGTTGCTGCATTTCGAGTCCGATATCGTCGTCCGTCAAACCCGACGATTGCCCATTTGATATTTCGCCGCTATCGCTGTGCCACTCCGGGACTGACATGGTCGATGGAATGATATCAAGCAGGCCCGATAGGTCATCGTCCAACACTGAATTGATCTCATTTATTGGCTCTGTCTTTGTCTTCGCCCCTGCGAAAATCAAGGAGAAGAAACCCATTTTTATATGAATATATAAGATTCAAAAGAAACTCAGAGGCAATAATGGAGTTCTTTTTCATTTGCAGGCAATAATGGAGCTTGGACTTTTGAAAGGAGCTATTCATATCGGATTCACATTCAAAGCAATTTAAATAGATAGTGGGTCAACAATTGAATTAGATTTAAATATGTAATTTAGAAACATGTAAAAAATTATGGAGTTTAAATGTATAATAGACTAATAGAGAGAGAGAACAATGTACGCGAAGGAATATGGATCCCAGAAAATAAAAGAAAAACCAGTAAACAGAGTTACAGAACACAAATAATAATATAAGAACCAGGGAGCATCAATCAGTAACATGCACAAAATAGAAGAACTAAGATTCTCAACAAAATGTTTACATAAACAAATTCCGTTATTCTCATAAGATTGAAACGTTCAAAATTGAACTAAAAATGACGAATTTTTCGATCTTGACGTCATGGAGACAGAGCTTCCATTTTCGAGACCCAACAGACTAACATACACAAAGAAGATACTCACCTATTGACGAGTGAGCAGAGTTTGATTCGTCCCACTGGCTGACAGATCCTAACTCGCTGAAAACTAACCCAGACGGCAGGGCATTACCAAGCAATCCATTTAATCCACACTTGTCTCCTGACAATCCTTCTCTCCTAGAATCTTCGTCGCAAGCAGCCATAGTTTGGGCTTCCTGTAACAGAGCATCCAATAACCCACTGTTGCTCCGGGCAAGGGGGGGAATCTTGTAATCGTTTGTGGTGCCCGAAGCGGCAGCTGTGGCTGCGGGCTGGGGCAATTGGCTTGAAGGGAGCTCCATCTTCGTGGAGAAAGCAGAACCTGAAGGAGTAATTCCGTCGGGTTCAAAAGGAGTTTGCAGAATAGTCGGTGGATTGAGGTCAAAATGGCCGGAATTGAATTGAAGGGATGGAATTGGCGGCAATTGGGTCGAGAGAGACTCACCAAACAAAGACGATGAAGGTGGTAGTGGTGTAGGAGGAGAAGAGGAGAAAGAAAAACCAGCATTATTGTTGTCCCGTAACTGCTTGAATCGATGAATTGGAGTAGGAAGTAAAGGGGCACTATGTTGGGCGATGAGAGGGGTCGTCATGGGAATATTCACGGAGTCGAAGAGCGAGAGAGGAGACCCATAATTTTGTTTCGGTTGTTGGGTCATTGAGAGCTGCACCGGAGGTGGAGGAGAAGGAGAAAGGTGGGGCTGGTGATGCTGGTTCAGGTTGCATGCAGTCGCTCGTTTCTGTATATCCTGTGGATAGAGCGGTAACCCGGCCCGTTGGCGTCGCTTGACTCTGGTGTTCCAGTAGTTTTTTATCTCGTTGTCCGTTCTTCCGGGCAGCTAACATATACAGGTACAAGTACAGAGAAAGGGTCAGAATCAAAAATTGCAGATGGATGCCTATATGAACTTTAACACAGAAGAAAATGAAAAGCATAAAGAGGAAGAAAAAACAAAGCTAACAAGAAAGAGAAATGAAAAAGGTAGGTCAATATGGGAAACAGGAAAGCATATTACGACGACGAAGAAGAAGAATTAAAGTAAACAGACCTGAGCAGCCATGCGAGCCCATTTGTTGCCGAGCTTGGAATGAAGCTCGAGAATAAGACGCTCTTCGTCGGGAGAGAAGGAGCCCTTCTTGAGATTAGGGCGGAGATGGTTGGCCCAACGAAGACGACAGCTCTTTCCGCATCGAGAGAGGCCGGAGTTCTTCTGAACAGCATTCCAGTTGCCTTCTCCATGCCTCTTCACGTACTCAATTAGAATTGCATCCTCCGCTGCTGTCCAAGGACCTTTTTTCAGGCCTCCACCGGCCCCACTGCCCGTCGACGTATCTTCGGTTGTAGCTGCCGCGGCGCCGTTGTTGTTGTTGTTGTTGTTGGACATCATCATCCGTCTGCCCCTCCCAAACCCAACACCCCTGTCTTCTCTCTTTTTTTGCTGTTGTTTTCCTCCTTGTTCTATCTTGCGGTGGTATCATGTACTTCTTTCTGGGTTTTTGCTCTTTTCAGAGTTTTTTCTCAATTTGATTTGTACTTGGAGGGAGGACCGAGGTTTGAGAAAACAAGAGATTTCTCTCCCCTCTCTCTATCAAGGGAGAGAGAGAGAGAAAGGAAAAATAAAGAGAAGAGAGAGAATGTCAAATGTGGGGGGAGAGAGGGTCTCGTCGTGGGAATTGGGATTCTGTTCTATTTATTTTTGAACCCTTTCTTCTGTACAGACCACGGAGTGGTGAAGGCTAGAGATTGTCCAGAGTTTTTATGGTTTTAGAATGTGATTTTGATTTTTTTTTAATTTCTTCTTATCCAGAGAAAAGTTAGAGAGAGAGAGAGATTGGGGTGTGGCCTGTGGGGGTGGCTGTAGGCTCCTGTGGGCTGTGGAGACCGAGCGAGCGAAGGGCCGGCTGGGGCTGAGGACTCCGCTCCCCTGTGGCCTGTGGGCAGTGGGTGACGAACATCCCCAATACCAACAAATTTTGAGGACGGAGCTTCCTTTTCGCTCCGCCTTAAGCGTTTTCTTATTTAGTCCTTATACTTGATTCCCTCCCTCTATCTATCTTTTCTTTTCTCACCCCCTTTCTCTAAAATTTTTCCCCTTTTTCCTCGGAAAAGAAGAGAAAAACTTTATGGATCGGGCTTTGTACACATCAACTCAGGCCTCAGGGTCAAACTCAATTTACTTTATGGCTAACCAATTTCTGTCCTGGTTCCCACTTTTTCTGGGTCCGGGTCGGCTAATTCCAGGCCACGCAATTATGACCCAGCTTTGGGACTTGTTAACCTTTCTGAATTATGGACAACACCTAACCCGACTGGTTTTATAAGCTGCATTGGTTTCCACTTGGCCAATCAGCTTTTTCTGGGAGGTATGATCTTAACCACCTGATCAGTATGATTCAACTCAGCAAGAAATGGGCCCAATATGTTATTTAGAATAATGAGCTGGATTTTCAAGGAATCTGTATATGCCCAGCCCACGTAATTACGCCCACCAAGGCACATACTGGCTGTCCGGACTCTGATCCACATGCTCTCCTGTACATTATTTATAGTGCATTATGGATGAGAAACATATTTCTCATCGCAATGTACCTCTCTATTCATCCATCAAAAAGGAAGAAGAAATGTACCTCTCCGTTTAGGTAAGGACCTGGTATTCATTAAATTTAAAACCATATTTAAATTAGGGGTGGATTGGGGCCGAGCCAAGTCAAATAGTATCAGGTTCAAGTTCGGTTCGAGTATGTTCTACAAGGTTCGACTTCGAATTCGATTCAAGCCAAAACTTTGAGTTTGAACTTGGTTCAAATCAAAAATTTATAAGTTCGAACTCGATTTTGAGAAAAAATATTTTATAAAAATAAAAAATTATATATAAAAAATATTTTTATTTGATATTTAAAAATTAAGAGTTATACTAATTAATAATTATAATATTTTTATTATATATTATTTTTATAATTATATATATATTCGAATAGGCTCGTGAGCCTCACAAGCCGAGCTCTAGTATGCTTGAGCTTGGCTCGTTTAATAATCGAGCCAATGAATTGGGCTCGAGCAGTTCATGAAAAGCTCGGCTCGTTGCTACCCCTAATTTAAATGGTATGATTTATCCCAACCTTCTTTTTCACCATTCAAAAGGTCAACCTGGATGAACGGGTCCAAAAAGATCCAAATGTTGGTGTACGCATAAGTGGATAAAGTGAGGATGGTTTGTCGTCTTCAAGTTGGGATATGAAAATAAGGATAGGAGATTAAGGTACTGTTTGGCAAGTCATTTTTTGACAACAAAACGACATAGTGAACTTTTACATAAAGATCTTGACATCTCACAAACCATTTGGTTGGAGGTGCATCTTTTCACGCAAAGGCAAGAGAGAAAAAAGGTGAAAAGTTCTATTTCTAGCTTTTTGAATTAAGCTCAAATCAAGCTTCTTGCATCTTTATGGGGCACAATCTTTCTACGGTTAGATTTTCCTCTAACTAAACAAAAAAAATGAAAATGTGGGTTTCCAAGCTTGTAAAAAGCTGATAATTCATACGAAAAGATGTGCCAAATGGGGCCTTAAGAAAAGGGATTTTTGGACTACAATCCCCCTCAGAAATCAAATTTGCAGTCCCCTCCTAATCTACTAATAGCCCTCCATAAACGGTATCCTGCCTGTAAATTTGACATCAATCTACGGACAGATTCAATCCACTCCTAATCTAGTAGTAGTTCCACTTTGGGGTGGACTGAACGGTAAAAACCCCTTAAGGAAAAAAGCTAAGTTGTTGAGGGCCAAAAATGACTAAGGGAAAGATCCCTCTACAAGGCCTTGGCTCCTTATTTATACTTATAGAATTAAGGAAACAAACTATGTGCATGAACGTCCAGCATCTTCTTCGGAGATAACAAATATGTGAGAAGTAGATCCTATTCTTTTCTCTTCATGGACACATGTCTTGGGAATTACGAGGCCATTAGGCCTTGGGAGCCACTCATGAGATTTATAGGTGGTCGTGATTAAATAGAAACAGTCGTGGTCGTGATTTCCCTGAGGGTGACTCACACGTCTAACCCCGAGCATGCTCCTAGAAGCTGAGGTCTTGGGTTGGACCTCACAAGTTTAGAGGTGCCTCTTAGTTCTGGCTTTTGGATTTCGTATATTAAAGAGAGTAGGGTTGTATTTGGCATTCCTTATTTTAAAGATTTATATCATTTTTACAATTAAAATCTCAGTGTTTATAAGGACATTTAAACAGCAAAAAGGAGGTAAGTCTTTAAAATAAAGAATGTTAAAAGCACAGGGGCGGATCCAAGGGTGGAAGAGGGGAGCCATGGCCCCCCTATGCCTTCAAAATTCCCACAAAACAATTTAAATTTCACTTATATTTTGCCCTCTTACTCATGATTTTTTAGTTTTTGGCCCCCTTCAAGAAAAAATTCTAGCTCTGCCCCTTCAAATGGAACCTACCATTAGGGGTGGCCACAAGCCGAGCTCTTCACGAGCTACTCGAGCTCGGCTCGGCTCGGTTTCAACTGAGCTTCGAGTTGAGCTCGAGCCCAATTTATAGGCTCGATTAATAAACGAGCCAAGCTCGAATATATATATAATAAAAATATTATAATTCTTAATTTTTGATATCAAATAAAAATATTTATATATATATATTTTTATTTTTATAAAATATTTTTTTTCTCAAATCAAGCTCAAGCTTACGAATTTTTGACTCGAGCCGAGCTCGAGCTCAAGGTTCTAGTTCGAACCAAGCTCAAGCCTTATAGTACTTTGGCGAGCCAAGTTCAAGCCTTGTAGTACTTTGGCAAGCCAAGCTCGAGCCTAATACTATTCGGCTCGGCTCGGCTCAGCTCAGCTCGAATCCACCCCTACCTATGAGCCCTGTCAAAAGGCTCCTTCGAGGCTATTTCTCTATGATACTGAGATTCCGGCCAGTACACTAATGACCTTTAAGCTATGTTTGGTGAAATTTTTGGATAGCCCAACTCGACTGTCAACCTGGGTGCCTCAAAGTATATGAACCAGTTCAGCTGAATCTTCATTATCAGCCTTCCCAAATAGGCCCTTAAGCTGGTTCAGGTGCTTTGAAACGTTATGGATAAACCGTTCAAAGAGACTAGGACTACATTTGACATTCCTTACTTTAAGACTTATCTCCTTTTGTAATTAAAATTTTCATATAAACACTGAGTTTTTAAAGAGGAAAATCCTTCAAATGAAGCCCAATAGTCAATTTAGATATATACACCAAAAATAGTGCCAAGTTGGGAGTGATGAAGAACAGTAGTTTGGGCTTTCTAAGGTGGGCCTTATAGCCTATGATCTATGCTTGGTAAAAAATCTGAAAAGCCCAAATCAATTATTAATCAGTCATTTGAAGAGTTATCCGTTCAACCTCTTTGCAGCAGTTTAACTGATCTTAAACTCAGCCCTCCTAGAACAGTTTATACTTATCTAGAAGTCACTTCATCTGATTTAAGGTGGTCTATGGCAACAAATCAATGGCTTTTGATTCAGCTGTTTCAATGTAGGGCTAGACACTATCGTAGCCAGAAACCGCTGCACTTAAAGCCCTCCTAAACGAGCACTCTATAGAGTTATCACGAATTGACGATCTATGGCTGTCAGCCTGTCACTGAGTCCCTAATAAATCATAAAGAAGACACGAAGCTAGAAGGGATTTGTGTGCAAAAAAAAAAAGGAATATGGGTTGTTTAATTCTTGTCCTTTTGCGATTTAAAGCTAAGCCTTATCTTGTCTTCTAGGATCCAAATCTGCTAAGATGAGTGTTCTCCAAGTAATTGATGATTAGTAGCTAAGATAGTTTAAATGATCTGGCTATGTGCACAGATTAACTATTTCTATACTGGAAATTAATTGATAATTTATATAGAAAAATATCAAGAAAATTCTAGTAAATAACACTTGATGGTGAGGAAAATTAATAATTTTTCAATTTTAAAGTAAATTAATGATTTGCCACATTCCATTTTTTTTTATAAAAGCCGGGGGCTTTTAAAAGATAGAAGGTACCCATATGTTGACTTATTATCAAAAGAAAATTAAAAAAAATAAAATAAAACTGTGGTTTTTATTTTAGTTTTCTCCAAAACTGGATGCCCCGAATCAGTTTCCTGACCTTACAAAATCAGGTCCGGGCTAAAGTTAGAATATTGATCTACGTTGAAATGGACTCCTTCTAGAAAGTTCAATGAAAATAAGGGTCCATTTGGGAGACTGAAGCCTTTGAAGAAGCCTGCAACAGAGGTTTATTCAATCGAAAGGCCTTTTAATTCGACTTGGGGATAGTAAATTTGGGCTTTCGGGTGGAACCCATCCTGCAAAGCCAAAGGCCACTATGAATTCAATTGGAGGGGGGCTGAAACTTTGATTGAGCCGCTTTGGAAAAGCTTAATTTGGGATTTCCAAGGTTTTTATCAAACATACTACTTTTTAAATGGGATTCACCTTTGTAAAGCCTGAAATTGTTACTTGAGAGCCCTCCAAAGGAAAAGAATAACATTATTAGTTGAATGCAATAGCTGTTCAGTAGGCTGTGGAATCAATGATATCATTAGTGTGGGGCGTTATCATTGGTTCCAAAGCTCTTTTTACAGCTATCACGTTCAACTAATCCAAGTTATCCCTAATGGGCACTAAGTTTTCCTCATACAAGAAAATCTCCATGTCGTGACCTATAACTATCAAAGTATTGAGTATTCAGATGAACAGCAATGTACTATACAAGTTTTGGTCTCT